GTTTTTTATTTAAAAAAATTAACTTTTTCTTTCAATTTTGTTTTTCAGTATCCGGTAAAATTCATTTCCTCGGTGCGTGTCAGATGATGGTCGGTGCAATGGAGGTTCGTCCGTAGTGGGTGAAGAAGTTTCTGGAGGGTACGCGCGCGCACATTTACATACACGCACACACATAAATACAACACACACATACACAACATCCATTCATTCGGTGTCGTTGTTGTTATGTTTCTCTTCAACTTTCTATTTTCTTTACCGGACTTAATTCATAGGTAAGTTAGAGATTGAGATGAGTTGAACAACTGTAGGTAGGCTAGGGCTTAACATTAGTTAAAAAGTTTCAAGTAAAATATTAACATTAACATAAATTAAAAGCTTCAAGTAAAATTAAAACGTTAAAATATGTAAAATAAATGAGTTGAGTTATCATTACAGGTAAGCTAGGGCCCTGAGAGTAATTTAATTGTAGGTAGGTGACTGACTACTATTCTTGCGACTTTTTAATATTTTTCTTGTGGTGTGTTTGTTTTCGCTTCTTAGCACCACACAACACCAACAAAACAAACTACAATTTTTTTTGTCTTTGCCTTAAATTTTACCATTTTTGAACAATCTTTTTAATAATGTCTATTTATTTATTTGTAAAATGTTGACTGGTTTCTAGTTTCTTATTTTAGTTATATAATTTTTGGATATTTCCTGATTTACTTTGTATATATGCATGCATGAATAATTTCTGTTTGGTATGTTGATTTAGTCATTATGATATGCTGTGAACTGTCCTTACTAAATATTCATGTTTCGTGATAATTATTTTTTATCGATCGATATTTTGTTATTTGTTTGTTTAAAATCTGAACTTTTTAAAAAATTGACATTTAACAAATTTTAATTTCGTCACTTTTCATCTTTTGATGATGTCAAATAAAAGCAACTGTTGTGTTTTTCTTTTCTTACTAAAATCTCGAATACAACATGTACACATAAAGAGACACACATACATACATACATACATGCGTACATACACGCATACATACATACTGCCATCATATATACGCAGTACAATAAACATTCATGTCATTTCTGTCAATGTATTTTAAGTATGTTATACTGTTAATCTTGTTAACTATGATGACGATCATCATCATCACAACCATCATCAACGAACAACAATATAATAATAAATAATTACAACAACAACGAAATAAAAATAGTTGTTCTCATTATGCATTTCAAAAGCTTGCATTCTTTTAATACAAGCGTTATATATATATATATATATATATATATATATATATTTTATTTTTTTATTTATTGGAAGAAGCACAAAAAAGTAAACATAATACTTGTGATAGTGCCTTAACTAAAGTTGTCCTTTCAACCAAGTTCAACAAAAAATTCAACAAAGTTAATTGAAAATGAAGAAATTAAAAATGATGGTAATTCATGCACGCGAACATACGTCACAAAAATTTATACATTTGCATTTCAAAAGTAAATAATGTTCGCCTACCATAATATTGACAATTAAATAAATAAAGATTGAATCGACATGAAAAATTCACAGTAGAGGTTCATTACAGAAACAAATTCAAATATCAATTTTGGCATATTTTAAAAAGTTTATCGTTAAAGGATCATTACATAGGCAAATGCGAGAATCATGATGTTATTAACTCATTATGAAAATTTTATCGTAGAAAGTCTATTACAAAACAAATTCTATTTTTATAAAATGTTTACCGTAAAAGAACTATCACACACATTCATTTTCATTTTGAAAGTTTACCGTAAAAAGTTTACCGTTCGAAGCATATTCATGCTCCCTCAAGTACGTTAGATCCGTAATTCACTCATGCACGCACATTCATGTCCACACATTCATATCCATCCATACACATTCATATCCATCCATACACATTCATGCCCACCCATACACATTCATGCCCATTAATACACATTCATACCCTTTCATACACATTCATAACATATTCGTGCTCCATATCAAAGTGGCCGTCTTTCTTGTTATTGATACTATAATTATTGTTATAAAAAATAAGTATTTTTATTGATTAAATAATTTTTGAGCTTATTTTTAAATAAATGGATCAAAGTAATTTCTTTTATTTCCAGCGGAATTAGCTCGTCCCAGACTCTAGGTCCTGTTATTTTTAAACTTGAATTCACTAATTTAATTCTCTGCGGTACAAAATAAAATGTATGCTCGCTTCTCAAGACTTTTGTTTTGACATTTGACGCTAGGGTAAAGAAATCTAGAAAAAATTTTGGTAACTTTTGTTGTAAGTATTTAAACACGAAGATTGCCAGAAAGTAAAGATGCAAATTTTTAACACTAAGAATGTTTGCCTCCGTATAATAACCAGTTATGTGGCAACGTGGATGAAGGCCAAGCAGCAATCGAATAAATCGATTTTGTGTTACGACAATTGGATTAAGGTGTGAATCAGGACTATTGCCCCAAAGAAGATTACAATAGACCAAATAAGGATGAATTAACGCATAATAAAGATTTACTAATATATTTTTATTAATTTTATGTTTAATTTTATGTAGCATACCTTGATTCTATATGATTTTTGTGATATTGAATTAATGTGCAAATCCCATGACAGGTTATCTCTGATTACTATACCTAAAAATTTTGTTTCAGTGGAACGAGATATTATTTTGTCATTTATTGATATTGTCAAGTCATTGATGCCATTTGTAATTATTTTCGGACCGAATATTAAATAAGTACATTTTGAATAATTTTGTTATTAATTTATTTAATAAAAACCAGTTTGCTATATATTTTAAGTTATTATTAATTATCATCTGATCTTCTTGAGAATTTTTGGTATGAAAAAAGATAGTGGTATCGTCAGCAAAAAGTAAGACTTTAGCTGTAGTAGGAACCAGACAGAGGTCGTTAATAAACATCAAAAAAAGCAATGGTCCCAGTATTGATCCCTGCGGAACACCAGAGTTTATAATTAACTTCTCCGAATTGTGTCCATTTATCGAGACATATTGTTTTCTATTTTTTAGGTAAGTGGAAAACCAATTAAGAGCTACTCCTCTGATTCCATATACTCGCAGTTTCTGTAAAAGTAATTCATGGTTTATAAGGTCAAAGGCTTTTGACAGGTCTATAAAGATTCCGACAGTTAAGAAATTTTCGTTTAGATTATACATCACCCTTTGTGCAAACTCCAACACAGCAAGCTCTGTTGAATGGTTGGTCAAAAGCCGTATTGCCTATCTGTAATGATGTAGTTAGCACTTAAGAATGAGTTTAATCTAGAGTGCATTAGTCTTTCTAGAACTTTTGAGAGTGGCGAGAGGAGAGAAATGGGTCGATAATTAGATACTTCCAGTCTGTCACCTTTTTTAAATATTGGTAGAATTTTCGCAGTTTTAAAGCACTGAGGAAAAATTCCTTGTGACAGTGAAAGATTGCATATGTGGGTTAATGGGACAATTATATTATTTATTATTTGCTTAACTAAATAATTACTTAGTTCATCATCGGATGTGCTTTTTTTGTTTTTCATACTCCCAACTAATCCTATTATTTCTAATTCGTTAGTTAATTCAAAATAAAAAGATTTGCATATTGGCTTAATTAAATTAATACTATTCTGATTCTGTGCGTTATCATTTGTATTATCTAATAATGATTTAGTGATATTGACAAAATATTTATTAAAAGTGTTACATATTTCAGTTATATTTTCGATTATTATATCATTAGTTACTATTTTATTGATAATTTGTTTGTCTGGTTTTTTATTTAGCATGTTATTTATTGCATTCCATTTACTTTTCGCGTCATTTTTATATTCGAGAAATTTATTATTGAAATATTGATTTTCTAAATGTCTTTTATGATTAGTGAATTTATTTCTAAATTTTTTATACGTATTATAATTTTCTGAAGTAGGGTTAACTATGTAATTTTTAAACAACTTATTTTGCAGACGTGACATACATAACACTTCCTTATTAACCCATGACTTTTTATTTCTGCGTTTACAAGATGGCAAAGGAGCAAATGTATTTAAGACAGTATTTATTATTTTGTACAGAAGTAAACAGGCTATTTCAATATCGTTTTCGCTTGTGAAAGGAGTCCAGTTAACAGTAGCTAGATAGGCGTTAATCTTGTTAATGTTGCTGATTGTTAAATAACGTTGGAATGGAGGGATAAATTTATCTGTCGATAAACTAGAGCAGTGTGAAATCGAGAAAATTGGATAATGGTCGGACAAATCAGATATAATTATGCCACTATTATACGTTTCAGAGGAATTTGTAAAAATATTATCTATTAAAGAACTAGAATTTGGGGTTACTCTTGTTGGTGAAAAAATTAATGGAACGAAGCCATATGACAACAACAAATTCTGAAATGACATTGCGTGTGTCGAGTCTAAGTTTAGGATATCGACATTGAAATCTCCAACAAAATACGTTCGATGATTCTGCCTTAAAGCGTTAAGTGTAATTTCTAATTTATCAAAAAAGTGATCAAATTTTGTATTAGGTGGCCTATATAAGGCAACCACTTTGATATATTCACAATTATTATTACATTGTTTAGACTTTATATTAATGCACAGCATGTCAATAACATCATCATCAAACACTCTATCATCACACACACACAAATCTAAGTCAGTTCTTATAAACATGCAAACTCCCCCACCTAAGCCAGTCATTCTATTTTTAAAAACAAATTTAAAACCTTCTAATCTAATCAATGCTGCAGAAGCTTCATTCAGCCAGGTTTTACTGATAACTATTATACTAGGAATGTTATTAAATCCGTCCATAAGCATTTGAAGGGACGTGATTTTATGGCATAAGCTACGAGATTTACATGCACGATTGATAAAGCTGATGAAGATAGACTACAATCAGATAGTGATAACAAATCTGATATATTATTTTCAGAGTAGTATTTCGTTTCGTTATGCATTGATTTGCATATAAAATTATTTGGCGCCACCATGATTCTCGATTTTGGATTGGACAACTTTATCTTCTGCTGTTCTTCTGTGACTCGTCAGTGAAAAATCCCATTCGCGCAAAAATGTGTATTGTGGCCATATATCAGGATTGGTGAATTTGAATAACTGGCTGATTGGCAGTATTATTTTAAATGCCGTAGACTCGACTAATGGGTTTTGATCTACCGCGGGGTTGCCTGGATGATTATCTGGAGGATTGTTTAAAAGGTTTCTTTTTCACAAGACTGGGAAACACTGGTTGAAGATTATGTTATTTGTTTTTAGATGGTTTTCAATGACATCTTTTTTGCACGAGTCAACATTACCTACATAATAAACAATTTTTTTCTCTATAACTTTAGATGCTTTCAAGAGACAGTTCGTACCAGTGCCAAATACTTTGTTAGATTTTTTAGATTCTATTTTGTTGTTTATTGTTTGAAGAACTGGAGGAGAATCATCTGACTTTCTTTTTTCTTGACTTTCTGAACAAGTTGAAAGCCATCGACGTCTAATTCATCGTTGGATTCATTCATGGATTTTTTAATATTATTATTATTTTTATTAAAATTAAAAGCCAAGTGTTTACTTTTACCTGCCCATGAATTTGTAGTTGAAGTTTTATTTGTGGCATTGGTTGATAAATTTGTTTTCAATACGTCACTTAAAGCTGTAGACATTTTAGATTTATTCAATGGTATAGTGCTTGTTGTACAAGCCTTTTCTATGTCCTGCAACGTTGTCGTATGATTGGAGACAATAGAGCGTATGTTGTCCAGCAAGCCGGTATGTTTTGTATCTAACGCTTCTATTATGGCCGTCTGTTGTACACTAAACATGGCTTCGATTTCATTTTTGATCTTTTGAAAACTAAAATTCAGCCAGTTAGTAATATTTGGTATCCTCAACAGATTAACAGCTGAATATATCGAACATTTATCAATAAAACCTCAAAATTTTTAGCAATTCAACACATTCTAAAATTTTGTCTTTTTTATTTATTCCGCGAAATTGAAACTTATCATTTTTCAAAATTTTAATTGCAGCAGTAACTTCGTCGACATAATAGAAATCCACTACATTCAAAATAAAAGTTTCGTTATCGAAATTATTCCAATTATTTGTCAAAAAGCACAAAAATTCACTAGCAACAACCGACCGACCAGCCATTGTTTTGCATTTATATATATATATATATATATATATATGTGTGTGTGAGTTTGTTTGTGTGTGTGTGTGCGTGTATGTGTATTGTATATTTTTATCTATTTATTGAAACGTTATTTTTTACGCATACCCCTTGTCTCATTCTCTCTCTCTCTTTCTTACTTTATATATATATATATATATATATATATATATATATATACATATATGACTGGCTGGCTGACCGACCGACCGACCGACTGATTGTTTGATTGATTTATCTCATAGTATTGTATACATGAGAAAAAATCCGATTAAGCCAACCTACGGCTTCAGTAAGCCACTGTTTTTCACCTGACAAAAGCAATTTCTATATTTATATTGACAAAAATAATTGTGATATGAATATATTGATTTATTTAAAGCATTAAGTGTACAAAAAAGTGCTATCGTAAGAGTTCTATGAAACCCTGTAAGCCATTGCTGTAAGCCAACGTATGATTTCAGCAGCCAGTTTCTTATGAGCACCAGCAGAATGTAAAATATTTATTGAATATAATGAAGATAGTTGTTCAAATAACAATTTTAATTTATTTAGGCCGTTTATTTCATAAGCAAACCAATTTTTAACATGATCGAAGTGTAAAAAAAAGGGTGACTATAGTTCAATCCTACTAAGCCAACCTTTGGCTACAGTAAGCCACCGGATTTCACCGGACCAAAAGCAATGTTTATATTCAAATTAACAAAAATAATTTAATAATACATAATTCTATTAATCATTATTAAAATTAAATAGAATTACTACAATGTTTTAAGCATATTAAATCAAGTAAATATCTCATTTAGCTTGCTCGTTAAAATCCATGCAATTTCGTAAGCCAACAATCCAAGCACGACAAATAGCCCAACCGATAGATCGAATTGATCGATTAGTCCTATTATTCTAGTTATGTGGTTTGGAGCAAGGGGAGACATTACTGAAAATAATTAAAAGTTGAAAAAATTGAGGTTCTTTGCATATCTCTGCTTCAACCCATAAGAAGGTGTTGTATGCTGGTATATAGGCCTTCCCTTGCTTTGTACCCGTTGAGAAATGTTATAGTTCAATTTCTAAAACTAAATAGATCTACCCGCCGGTTATGAAGTAAAAATTGAAAAAAAAAAGCGGTTTTTTGAAGAATTTTAATTTTTAAATGTTAATGACTTTGAAATTGAAAAACATGAATGAAAAACGTTTAACGAAGAAAAGAATAATTCATACAACATAATGTTATAGTTCAATTTCTAAAACTAAATAGATCTATCCGCCGATTATGAAGTAAAAATCATGGAATTATATAACTGGAAGCGCCCTACCAGCGTTTTAACATTAACAATTTTTTTCAACGGCAAGTTACCTCTGGAAGCAAGTTTATAAACATTAATAATTTGTTTTAAAAGTGAAACTATCTTTTTAACTGATACGTTTAAAATTTTGTTACACATTTTGTAATGTATCATATTTTTATAACTTTATAGAGGTTTTGTGGTTTTTTTAGTAAAAATTGGTTTAAAATTTTTATTTTAAACTTTTATTATAAGCTTTTATTATTTAGTTTAACTTTTAGTTGTACCGTGGGAGGAACTTATGAGTCTCTTTAAACTGTTGACTATAAATAAATATTGCTGGAAAAACCACTTTGCCGTCTCCGAGATTACCCAACATCACATCATAAATATAATAAATCAATAATCATAATGCTTAAATTAATTAAAAAAAATAAAATAATTATTTATACATCATAAATCATAATGCTGCTCTTAATAATTGTTTCCAGGTATATAATGCTTATGTTCTGTCCAATCTATAGATTAAAATTCCATGGTTCGAAATAACTTCTATAACAATAATATTTATGATTTCATGTCCATCTAACTTCACTGTGCGTGGAGCGCGTTCTCTTCTTCGCGTGACGTTTATATTATACAGCCACTTTTTTTAATCTAAATTTTTTAAATTTTATCAAATAAATTAATAAATAAAACTAATTTAAATTATAAAATTAACGATGTCAAAAAGAAAAAGCGTTTATCGTGAACAGTTTTCAACTGACTTTCCAGGGATTAAAAACAGTAAAAAAGTTGAAAATTATGCCTTTTGCGAATATTGTTCAACTGTTGTTAATATTGCGAACGCAGGCGTTTCATCTATTAAACAACATTTTGAAAAAGAAGTTCACAAAAACAACGTGAAAATTAAAAAGTCTACTGTCGGAATATCAACATTTTTTCATAGTAATAATTTGCCCACATCTAGAAAAACTGCTGTAGCAGAAGGAGCATTTGCATATCATGTCGCTTTTCACTCGTTATCGTTTAAAGCTGCAGATTGTACAAATCGTTTAATTTCAACTGTTTTTGCTGAATCGGAAACTGGTCGGAAATTTTCATCTGCTCAAACAAAAACGCAGGCAATCATTTCAAGAATATTGGCTCCGAAATCAATTGAGAATCTTTTGTCTGAATTGGGAAGCGAGCCGTTTTCTATTGCAACCGACTCGTCAAATTTTAAAGAAATCAAAACATTCCCTATCATTATTCGGTATTTTTCGCATGAAGTATTGAAAGTTGAATTGTTAGAGTTTTCAAATTTGCCAGGAGAAACGTCAGAATTGATTTTCAAATATGTAATGACTGTACTTGACAGATTCAAATTGGGCCCTAATAATTTGGTAGCGTTCAGTGCTGACAACGCTAATGTAAACTTTGGTGGAGCAAAACAGAATGGTCAAAATAACGTTTTTGCCAAATTGAAAAACATTCAATCAAAACTGATTGTTGTAGCCTGTCCAGCTCACATTTTCCATAATGCAGCTAAAAAATCCTGTGAAAGGTTTTCACTTGACATTGAATCGTTGCTATTCAAAATCTTAAGCTATTTCAATGGATCCACGCTGCTACATGAAAAATTTAAAGAATTTTGTGAATTTATGGAAATTCAATATGCTAAATTTCCAACTCATACTCGCACACGATGGTTAAGCCTTCTTCCATTGATTGAACGAATTTTACAGTTATGGGGTGGCTTAAAATCACTAGTTCTATCAACGGATGACATTCCAAAGGTTCTGGAAAATTTATTCTCTGATGATTCAAATGAAATCTACTTCTGGTTTCTACAGAGCTCATTGCAGCTGTTTCAGCAAACTTTGCTGATACTTGAAAAAAAGACCTTGTGCTTCCTGAAATGATAGAATCACTGACAGGATGCAGAAAAATTTTTTTGGTGCCATGACTTAATCAAAGTTGCAATCATTAGAGGATTCCAATTTGGCTAATCGCATAGAAAAGGAGTTTTCAACATTTTATTTGACATCTGTTGATTACATTCAGAAGTGGTTCAGAATTACTGATTATCCGTCTTCTTCTAAGTGGTTAATGCTGAAATCTGTCGATACAATTTCGTATGAGGATATTCGAAAATCTGCAGAGTTTCTAATGCCAGAAATTTCTGTGAAAGATTCTCTGTTTGATGAAACTAGTCTTCTAATTTCACTGTTGAAAGATTCAAAAGAAAGTTTCCACGAATTGCCCATTGATATAAAATGGGCTGTTCTGTTTCAAAACGAACTGTTTTCAGATTTGAAGAAATTGGTATACACAATTTTTGCCATTCCTACCTCGAATGCTGCTGTTGAGCGAATTTTTTCATAATGTACAAAACAATGGACTGATGATAGAAACTGCCTAAAAATTGATACTGTTAAAAGTTTACTACAGGTAAAGTTTAATTATTTTTTAACATGCTCTGAAATGTACACTTACTTGT